GAGTTAAGAAGTTTCATGGGACTCTGTACCTATTACCAGAAGTTTGAGAAGGATTTTGCAACTATAACTGGTCCACTACATGATTTGACAAAAAAGGCCAGAAGTGTGAATGTACAGTTTCTTGTCAGCATGCTTCAAGACATTGAAAGAAAAATCCCTCACTGCCGTACACGCTGGATTGTGATACTAGTAATGTCGGAATTGGAGGAGTGTTGTCTCAGAAAGTGGGTGAAAACGAACATGTGGTGGCCAAATTCAGTAGGGTCCTGAGTAGACCAGAGAGGAACAACTGTGTAACAGAAAGGAAACTCTTGCTATAGTAAAGAGTCTGGCATATTTCCATCCTTACCTTTATGGCGCCAGGTTTACCATCAGGACAGACCATGCTGCATTACGCTGGTTAAGATAATAAAAGAACCCAGAGGGACCACTGGCATATTGGATCGGAGAGATAGACCAGTATAATTATGATATTGAATACAGAGAAGGAAAAAGCTCGTGGAAATGCCGATGGATTGAGATAAAGTCGCCACAAAAGTGACTGCAGACATTGCGCAAAAGAGAGGTTAAACTAACCAGGTTCCATCAAGCTGAAGTCAAAGTGACTGTAGGAGTTGATGATGGTGAAGTAGAATCAAGTATAGATATTAAAGCAGAACAGGAGAAAGACCTAGATTTGAATCCAATATTTGATTTTCTACAAGCAAGTGTTCAGCGCCCTGTTTAAGCCCTGTGACAAAGAACTATTGGACACATTGGGACCAGTCAAAGCTTGAAGATGGCATGCTTCTCTGGAGATGGGAAACAGCAGATGGGAAAGTGACGACCTGGTAAACAGTTATACTGAGAACGTTACGGGAAGTTGTGCTGCATCAATCCCATGATAGTTTAACAGGAGGACATCTTGGAGTTAAGAAGACAGTGAGTCACCTACGGCAGAGATTTTACTGGATAGGTATGAGGTAAGATGTGGAAGAATGGTGCAGGACCTACAGTACATGTTGTGCTAAAAGGGGCCCAAAGCATAAGGGACTTACCCCAATGAGGTTATATCTAGTTGGTGCACCAATGGAAAGAGTAGCCGTTGACATTGCTGGTCCATTTCTCCGAACTCATGCTGGAAACATGTACATTTGTTTGGTGATGGATTATTTCACCAAGTGGTCTGAGGCATATGCAATACCAAATCAGGAAGCTACAACTGTAGCTTCGGCTATTAGTGATTTCTTTTTCAGGTTTGGTATGCCATACGAACTGCATTCGGATCAAGGCCACAACTTTGAATGCTGCAATTTGTTTGGCATACGAATTACCAGGACAATGCCACTTCATCCACGGTCTGATGGTATGGTAGAAAAGTACAATGGAACACTGGGACAGGAATTGGCAAAGTCTGGGACGTCTTACTCCCTCCACTGTTGATCACCTATAGAACAGCAGAGCATGAAGCCATTGGATACACTACAGCAAATCTGATGTTTGGTCGGGAATTTCGGTTGCCAGTAGATCTGATAACAGGACGCCCACCTTATGAAGAGTTGCCTGAAAATATGCCAGAGTTCGTGAAAGTGTTATCTGAAAGGATAGATGATATTCATCATCAAGTGCTTTCAAACTTAGAAACGTCTGCTGATTCCATGAAGCTATGTTATGATAAGAAATCTACCGAAGTCAGCTTTGTACCAGGAGACAAGATGTGGTTGTATAATCCAAGAAAGACCAAAGGGAAGTCTCCTAAGTTATCTTCTCCATGGGAAGGCCCATATGACATAATGGATTGTCTTTCCGAATAAAATGTGGTCGGCGAGGTAAGCCAAAGGTGGTGCATGCCAACAGGCTTTGGCGTTATCATGGTCCAGGACATTTCAGTTGTGACGAAGGTGAACAATGGAACAAATGACGCTACTGAAAATGTGTCACCTGGAAAAGCCACTGTCGAAGAAGAAACTCTACCCGGTTTCTAGAAGGAAAACGGCGAAGCCCTTAATGAAGTTACTACCACTATTGTGACTGCTACTGATAATGGGCCATTTCCTGATGGAGCAGATGATTCCCACGTGAAACAGAAGTCAATGAGACAGAGACCAGTATGAAAGAAGAAACATACTGTATAATT